AGGGTGCGACCGGTCATGTGATCTACAATGATCAAATTACATGACAATTTGCACTGGTGTGATTGGGGACTAAGACTAGATATCCAGACCACACCCCCCCCTTCCCCTTACATCAGATGCTTTGAATATTGAAAATGAGTTAAACAGCCTTTTTGATTTGTGGTTCTCAGATGAAGTGTAGTCCTGCTCAGGGGCGGACTGAGCATTTGGAAACTCGGGCACTGCCCGAGAGCCCGGCGTCAGTAGGGGGCCCCATAAGATGCCCCTGGTACCATTTTCATAGGCTTTTTTGAGTTTGGGCAAGGACACAGAGGCCCCATGATCCCCTACTGCCCGGGGGCCCCATGAGTTGTCAGTCCGCCCCTGAGGAAGACTCACCCTCTCTATTTGTCCTGTTTACCATTATCATTGAAAGTGAAAGAAAAAGAAGATCCCAAATTTCTGACTGTCTCTAGATTGAGCATAATGGATCGGAGCAGGGGTGTATTTAGGTTTCGTGCTGCCCTAGGCAACACAACCCCCATGGGGAGACCCTGACACCAGCCAACACCCCCCTTCCCCACGAAGAAAGCCTGACATTGACAAACAACACTCGAGTCCCCGCCCACCCCCACCTGAGAGAGCCTTCCATTACCTTGAGTTTGGGCAAGGACATAGGGGCCCATGGTCCCCTATTTGCCCAGGGGCCCCATGAGTTGTCAGTCCGCCCCTGAGGAAGACTCACCCTCTCTATTTGTCCTGTTTACCACTATCATTGAAAGTGAAAGAAAAAGAAGATCCCAAATTTCTGACTGTCTCTAGATTGAGCATAATGGATCGGAGCAGGGGTGTATTTAGGTTTCGTGCTGCCTAGGCAACACAACCCCCATGGGGAACCCTGACACCATCCAACACCCAACCTTCCCCACGAAGAAAGCCTGACATTGACCAACAACACCCCAGTCCCCCGCCCACCCCCACCTGAGAGAGCCTTCCATTACCTTGAGTTTGGGCAAGGACATAGGGGCCCATGATCCCCTATTGCCCAGGGGCCCCATGAGTTGTCGGTCCACCCCCTGGGACTCCCGCTTTAACTATTTTCTATTTACATCCCCCCTCCCAAATAAGTAAATAAAATAAAGACCCTCACACCCTCTAAATATATTCAAAAAAAGGCTATTTTCCCCCAAACGAAATCAGCTAAATAAACGAAATTGAGAGTTTCCAAGTTGGTTACATTTTGATGCAAATCAATTTTGCCAAAAACCAATGGACCAATGTAACTGTACAAATATCCATATCTGGAATTCATCTTCATCTCATTCCCACTCTACCCAAAACTGAAATCCCATGTAGCCAGAATCCGCTGACCACTTCACAGGGTCACTGGGTGTGCATTTCTTGAATTCCGTGCTGTATAATTTGCTTTTTATCTGCTTCCTGCATTACCAATCACATCCTAACTTCTAATAGCTACGCTTAATCCTTTTGTTGGTTGGCAAGATTAGTCCTGACATTTTTATAGCAGGCTGGGGTTATAACGGGCTGGATGACTAATACCCTACAGAAATGTCTGGATGATTAGTAATACGCAGGCAGTCTGTTCTGACCGGAGAGAACCTCTAAGATATACAGTATGAGATAAGCAAATATGTTGGCTAATAAAGCACTGGTTGAAGATCCAGCTCTTCTAATTATTTCTGGCAATGTGTGTCTACGAAGGAACTTCGTACTAAAAATGTTTTCAACAGTACCCCGATCAGGGCAAAGCAAAGGCTCCCTTCATAGCCCTTTCCTCCTTCCTTTGATACTTACCTTATGTTCCCTGCTGCACCATTTGCCTGCTACTTCTTCAGGTAAGGATGGGGGAGAAGGGGTGATGTGACCTTCTATTTTGCCATCCACAATGTGGCACTTGAGGTGTAAGTGGCCAATCACCAGATGCCAAATCTGTCACATAAGGGAGTATTGGAAAGGTCCAAGCAGGGCGTACTGACAACTCATTGGGCCCCCTGGCAATAGGGGATCATGGGGCCCCTGTGTCCTTGCCCAAACTCAAAAAAGCCTATGAAAAAGTTACCAGGGGCATCTTATGGGGCCCCCTTCTGACCCCGAGCCCTTGGGCAGTGCCCGAGTTTCCAAATGGTCAGTCCGCCCCTGGGTCCAAGGTCCTTTAATTTAAGGTCCAAAGTTGGAGCACAGGACTATTTACTCGGGCAGGTCATCGGGATGATGGTGGAGCTCAAGAAAGGTAGGTATTAGAGGGACTGAGGTGTGTAGGCTATCAAGAGAACCCTTCATTATGCTTTGTATTAGATATTAGAGGGTGTGCAGACACAACCCAACTTCTTTCTGGCATCTACGTCCTCAGGCAAAGTTCAAAACGTGAACAGTCATGGTAACAGTCCCATATATTGATCCTTAAATTTAAATCCACCACCCCTTCTTCCTTGCAACATTCTTTAGGATGTACGTAACTCCTAATAAATCAAACCCATTTTTCTGGCATGCTAGAAGATTTCTCTATTGCATGCTGTAGACCAGGGGTGGACTGACAACTCATGGGGCCCCCGGGCAATAGGGATCATAGGGCCCCCGTGTCCTCACCCACACCCAAAAGAGCCTATGAAAAAGCCAATGAAAGGTACCAGGGCATCTCATGGAGCCCCCTACTGACCCTGGGCCCTCGGGCAGTGCCCGAGTGCTCGAATGGTCAGTCCGCCCCTGCTGTAGACTACCTGCATGGTTCTTCTCAATCAGTTCCTAAACCCTGTCCAATCCTGACCTATCCATTTAGTGCTAGTGGTGCACAAAATCCTGCGCTTATCTAAATCTGCTGCGTATTAGGAAATAATCTGAAACATTGCTCCATACATAGCGGATCTAATATGGCTAATATCCTGTACGAGAAGAGATCACAGCTGCGAGCAGTCAGCATTTTGCTACAATGCTAACCATATTGTACACAAAACAATATCCTGTTTTAATCCAGAATCCAGATGTGAACACAATATGCCATTGCTTTACAACATTCACATGTGCTCTGTGCCTTCACAATGGGGCCGCACATGCTGAGCGCAGAGCTATAAGTCACTTTGCTTTGTAAAATCTATGATGCATTAGCTGCATTTGAATAATAATTTCAAATGAGCCTTTTGTGTCATGAATCAATAGAACACTTCAAAAAACACGTGAATATTGGACATGATCATAACACAATTCTATTACATTCTATACATAGAACACTACACCCCAACATGGCCGACCACTGGACATGATCATCATACAATTCTATTACACTCCATACATAGAACACTACACACCCCCAACATGGCCAACCATTGTACATGATCATCATACAATTCTATTACATTCTATTCATAGAACACTACACCCCAACATGGCCGACCACTGGACATGATCATCATACAATTCTATTACATTCCATCATAGAGCACTACACCCCAACATGGCCGACCACTGGACATGATCATCATACAATTCTATTACATTCTATACATAGAGCACTACACCTCCAACATGGCCGACCACTGGACATGATCATCATACAATTCTATTACACTCTATACATAGAACACTACACCCCAACATGGCCGACCACTGGACACCATCAAAATACAATTCTATTACATTCTATACATAGAACACTACACCCCCAACATGGCCGACCACCGGACATGATCATCATACAATTCTATTACACTCTATACATAGAACACTACACCCCCGACATGGCCGACCACTGGACATGGTCATAATACAATTCTACTACACTCTATACATAGAACACTACATACATAGAACCCAACATGGCCGACCCACCATGGACACCATGGCCGACCACCGAACATGACACCATAAATACAATTCTATTACACTCTACGCATAGAACACTACATCCCGAACATGACTGACCACTGGACATGATCATCATACAATTCTATTACACTCTATACATAGAAACACTACCATCCCTAACATGACCGACCACTGGACATGATCACAATACTCATACAATTCTATTACACTCTATACATAGAACACTACACCCCCTAACATGGCCGACCACTGGACATGACCATAATACAATTCTATTACACTCTATACATAGAACACTACATCCCTAACATGGCCGACCACTGGACATGATCATCATACAATTCTATTACAATCTACACATAGAACACTACACCCCCAACATGGCCGACCACTGGACATGATCATCATACAATTCTATTACAATCTATACATAGAACACTACACCCCCAACATGGCCGACCACTGGACATGATCATCATATACAATTCTATTACACTGCCTACTTACTTTTCCTAGTAAAGTTCTCAAATGTAGGATGTAACTAATACCAGCACAACCCAACCAAATGCAGTTTGGCTTTTGTAGTGAAATTTTGAGGCACCTAAATCTGTCTGGAAGATACTGAGTCAGAATGAGAACGTCTACCTGGATAACATATTTTTGGGGATGCGCATCCCAATTGCACTTAATCCTTGTTTGCATAAGAGCATCAAAATTTTAATTGGCATTTATAACCTCTAAAATCTAAGGGTCAAGTTTACATCAATGATTATTGTGCCTGCAGTATTACACCTACTACATTACGCTACAGTCTTATTAAATGCGATAATTGTTTTTATTTGTGCTGTGCTTTGCATTTTTTGTTTCCATGGATACCTTAAAGTTCACAGGCAGCGATTTGTTTATTCAAAAGCTTAGGAAGGCAGCTTCTGTTCATTTTCGGTCTTTGCTCACGCACGGACATACCTGCATAAACATACGTTTTGTCAACTGCTGTTCAGGGTAATTGTTCTGGTGCGATTGGGTCTTAAAGAGTAATAGAAAACATATTTTTTTTCTTTTTTTTTTTTTTTTGGACACTTGGGATATTTATTGGACTTTAGAAGGTCTTTTTAAAGGATTTTATTTCCCGAAGTCACTATTTTATATGATCAATAGAGATAAGTACAGGACGCCCTTACCTCTGAGCTGCCTCCATGTCACGGTTGGCTCCGGTTTTCCCACCGCTAGACACATTAGGTTCACGTTGCTCCCCTCGTTTACGGTGATGCTGGCTGAGATGTTGACTATTTTGGCTGGAACTAAAAAAAAAAAAAAAAAAAAGAAGAAATATATATATTATATCAAAGTACATTTTATAAAAAAAAAAATATAAGAAATCACCACTAAACAATCAGCTCAACGGTAAAGGTGCGGGAAGTTATTAATAGTTCGTAGCAGATTGAAAAAAATGGTATTTATAGCTAAAAACGCCATTCGCAGTCAAACAATTGCCAACATACACAATCTGTCTTAGTTTCAATTAATGATTCACAGTAAGTAGTAATAGTAAATTTTACAAAATAACTTCTAGACGTTCAATCAATTAGAGTACTGCAAAGGATGTAATATTTCCCCAAATTTAATTTGCCACAAATATATTCTTTGATATCAATTACGGCTATTTTATTAACCTCCCTAGCGATTATGTCCATAATTCTGTGCTCAAAGCGGTACATTTTTTTGCATGGAAATATGTATTTTTTTTTATTGTAGGCCTGTGATTTTTAGGAATAACTCACTGAAATCTGTCCGAACAAGAGTCTAGTAAACATCCCGGGGATGATAAAATTTGAAACACGAAATCATAAATTTGATATTATAATAAAAATAATCATAAAAAATAATAATATAATAATAATAAATTTAATTCAATAATATAATCAAACCAAAAACACTGAAATGTGAAATAGAGCGCCAAGTTCGCACATCGCTGAGCAAAGTCGCAGAATCGTTTTCAGTGTCTGATGAGGAATTTCCCCCACGAATCATTATCACTCAATTCTGCAAGTGGTTCTGATTTACTATCGCTGTTCTCTAGCCGGTCTAAAAACCGCTTTTGACCTAAAGGGACGCTTTTTGGACGCCATGGACTTTTCTAAGTTTCCAGACAGAAAGAACAGTAAAAATGCAGGCAGGGCGCCGGACAAAGCACTCGGGACAAAATGTATGTGAAATGGTTTGATACAAGAATGTTATACTATGTGATTTTAGTGTATTTAGTGAATGTCACTTTTTGTCATATTCAAATTTCCCGCCATTCCATCCCCCGTACGTCCCGCCGTCGCAGGGAACGGAACCCGGAAGACAGATGCTGGCATCCGCCGGAGGACATTACAGGGGACACTGCAGGAGGGCCATTGCGGGAGCGCAGGACAAGATAAGAGAAGCACAGATCCCGGAGCAGCTGGCAGAAAGTGGGCTAAAAACCTCACACTAATATAATGATGAAAATCACTCCAAGATCACTAATGCCCTGTACACACGATAAAGAAAATCGTCCAAAACATTTCGCGGAACCACCCATCGATCGATTTTCTCTTCGTTGATGAGCAGGATGTTTTATCCAATAACGATATTGTGAATGAAAACAACCGGTTGAACAATAGTGAAAAATGTTGTCGTTTCGCATACGAAAGACTGATTTTCTATGCGGTGGTATGACTGTCGTATGAAAAAAATCAATCAAGAGCTATCACGCATGAGCGGAAACAGAAGATGACCCGGATGTTCATGTCAAAGGCAGGAACGGACTGACCATTTGGAAACTCGGGCACTGCCCGAGGGCCCGGGGTCAGTAGGGGGCCCCAGGAGATGCCCCTGGTACCTTTTTCATAGACTTTTTTGAGTTTGGGCAAGGACACAGGGGCCCCATGATTCCCTATTGCCCGGGGGCCCCATGAGTTGTCAGTCCACTCCTGGTAAGTACAATACATCGACGCAAATAACTTTTTATCAGTTGAACATTTCTGGTCCATGATGTCACCCAAGATCCCTGGTTGGTTTGTTCTGTTATTTTGCAGCAGTAGGACTGGTGGGTGTGGAAACACACCACAAGGACCTCATACTCGCATCTGGTCCCCAAGAGGACGTGGTTGTTTCTTGGGAGGGGTACTAAGTGTTACTTTCTGTGATTGTCTATGACATTGTATGCGTTGTACACTCAACCAAGTGTGTTAAAGGGGCTGAAGCTCTTAAAGAGGTCAAGGCAAAGAACAGACTACCCATTCTAACCAGCGGCTCCTACGGGGGTAGAGCTACATATATAAAGACCAGTAATGAACAATGGGAATATATATAAAGACTAGTAATGAACAATGGGAATATATATAAAGACTAGTAATGAACAATGGGAATATATATAAAGACTAGTAACGAACAATGGGAATATTAATAAAGACTAGTAACGAACAATGGGAATATATATAAAGACTAGTAACGAACAATGGGGATATATATAAAGACTAGTAATGAACAATGGGAATATATATAAAGACTAGTAACGAAAATGGGGAATATATATAAAGACTGGTAACAAACAATGGGAATATATATAAAGACTAGTAATGAACGATGGGGATATATATAAAGACTAGTAATGAACAATGGGAATATATATAAAGACTAGTAATGGACGATGGGGATATATATATATAAAGACTAGTAATGAACAATGGGAATATATATAAAGACTAGTAATGAACAATGGGAATATATATAAAGACTAGTAATGAACAATGGGAATATATATAAAGACTAGTAATGAACAATGGGAATATATATAAAGACTAGTAATGAACAATGGGAATATATATAAAGACTAGTAATGAACGATGGGAAATATATATAAAGACTAGTAATGGGACAATGGGGATATATATATATAAAGACTTATAATAAAGGGGGGGGGGACTAGTAATGAAACATCTGGAATATATATAAAGACTAGTAATCATGAACAATGGGCTAAACATATATATATAAAGACTAGTAATGAACAATGGGAATATATAAATAAAGATTAGTAATGAACAATGGGAATATATATATATAAAGACTAGTAATGAACAATGGGAAAT